TGTAACGTGAAATATATTTAAACTAGTCCAATAATTATTTAACGTTGCATACATATTAACAGTAACATTACATTTTATGAAAAAAGTAATGTATTTCACAATTATTCTGCAGTACATAATTCTGTTGCGTGAGGTGGTGAAATTCATTTCAAGCAGTGATACCCATTTTGAATTGGTTCCATTGTTTCGAGAAGAGAAACAATAACTCGCTTATCAAAGAAATGTGTTTAATTTTTTTTTTCTCTCTAAATCACTGCCATTGTTATCAATCCGAAGATCTTTGTCATTTTTCGTGTTGCATCATTTCGTGTGTGTACCAAAAAAAGCGATAGATTCGTGTTTTGTTGTCGTTCTATCAAATTGAATTCGAAACATATGTGAATATTTGTGTGGATTGGTTAAAAGGATTTTTCACTTTGATCGTATGTTTTGCATCTGTGCATTCGGTTGATATTTCCAAATTACATGTGAATGCTTTTATTTCAGTGCTGGAGCACATTTTTTTTCAATCTATATATTTTTTTATATACTTTTTTTCGATCGAACATTGTTTGATGTGAAAAGTCGTCACTTTTAAATTATATGGATCAATGAAAATTCAATACAAATTCGTTTTCAAACTAAATCGAATGTATGTTTTTATTTCAATAGGAAAATGGCGAATCGTTTCAAGCCATCCATACCAGCGAAGGGAGAAACGAAGGATGAGATCACGACGATCAAATGTGCGCTGAAGACAATCATTCGCCCACAATTCCAGCAAGCACTGATGAGCAAAATAACGGACCTGAGTTTGCAAGCCACTTCAATTTGCTTTTTGGGCTCATTACTGTTCTTGTTCGAGGTGCAAAAGGCGTACGAGCATAGGCATTGAGAATAATGATTTCGCATTCTTTGGTGGAAGTGGGGAAAAAAAGATCCAACTCTGCTTTAACCAAGTGCTATGGCATAACAATCAGCCACCGAAACCGAAAAAGTCGACGTACAAACCACGAGGAAAAAAGCCACGAGGACAACGAGCAGAGCTGCCACGTATCGACCCTGATTTCAAAGCAATTGTCGACGGTAATAAATAATAATAGTTGATTTATTAAACAATTAAACCCCCTTATAAAATAGCGAGTTTTGACTACACAGTACACAATTTAGTTGAATTTGAAAAACATATTTTATTTTTAGGTCTTGACGACTATCATCGTATCGATTGGCCCAACAACAATGATTTCAGCAATGGCCCAAAGGATTTGACCAATCAATACACAGACAACGTCGTCACCAACTCAACAACGCATCCTGACAAACACATCACCCAGTACTTGAGACTAAAAGTGTTCAAATTGAACACAGATGGAGAAGAGTATGCAGCGAAATTTTTGCAAAGTGACATCGAAAGTGTTGTGAAACTGATAATCAAACAAAAAGTCATCAAAGTGCCAATTCACGATCCAAACAAACTCGAACGGTGTGGCATGTTGTATGACATGGTGAACGACTTGAATGTGTTTCCAGAAATCGATCTGCATGACCTCACGACTGACAAAAAACATTGGTTTAAGGCCATGCCAATGTTCCTATCTATGCAACGCGAGATAGAAGAGTACAACTTGGAGTGGCCACATCAGCACCGATCCAAACGAAAGAAAAGAAAGCGCAAAAAGTCAAAGCGTCGCCCCAAGCGCAAACAAATGCTCGACGATCCAAACTTTCGGCCATTCATCCGGAATTTGGTTGTGGTGCCGATGTGTGTTTTCGCCGAAAGCACTACAAAATCGATTGTTCAAGCATGCACCAAGTGTTGTCTTCGCAAAAATTGCTACCGAAAGTGGAAGTTGAAAACAAAAACGGAACAACAAGCATGGTAATTCTTCCACAAAAGGATTTCAACGATGCGCGTGATCATTGGTGAAATTAGTATTTCTACATGCGGAAAATTCGGCGATTCGTGCGTGGAAAAAAGAAGTTTGATTTTCCCATAAACACCGATGGAATCGCTGTGTCTCTGCAATACTCGGCCAAAAAGAAGACGAATAACACAGAATACGACCGTTCTCGCATCGTTGAAATGATTTTGGATGGCAAATTCGAAAATTTTGCAGGCGTTGATACAGTCTTGAAAAGTTGGAACACCACAGTGACACACAACATTATAACTGGCACCGAAGTAAGTTTTTACATTTATGTTGTATATGTATAAGTGCTAAAATTCAATAACTATTCATTTATTTTTTTTCAGACCAACTTCGTAATGTCGAGTAAGCAGTTTCACTGGCAAACAGGCCAAAACGTGCGAAATGCCAAAGCAAAGCGTTGGACCAAAGATTTCGTTCAAGAGGAGTGCCGAGACAGAGAAAACCAGTGATGCCATCGCCAAAATGGTCACAGTGGCTGAATTACATAAAGCAACGAGTCAAGATGATGAAGCATGGAATCTGCGCTTACTCGACTGCCAAGTACACTTGACTCGCCTTGGACAAACACATCAAAAGCAGTAGTGTTGTCGACAATTTGGTGGAAAAGGTTACCGATAAGCAATCGACATTGTTTCTTTTTGGTGCTGATGGCGAAGTACCACCTGACAGCCGAATAAATATCAAAAAGCACGTGCGGTGTCCAGGGGTTCGTTTGACTTTGAGGTCAATAAAGAAACGTCGAGATTGTGCCATAGAGCTGGTGGACGAATGGGGATCATCTCAAACAGACGCAAAATGTATGAAGCGATTCCAAAACCAGCCCAAATCGGCCAGATTCAAGAGATGCCGGTGAATACCCGACGCCAGAACATTGCTGGCAATAAAAATTGTGTCAAAGTTGGGCAAGACGGATTTATCGGTATTCCGACAGTTGCAACGCGCCATGAACGAAGCATCGGAAGAAGACGATCCTTTACTGTCAAAAGTAAAAAGTTACTATAAAAACTGGCAATTAAACCTCGAATGCACTGTGACTTGGCATCGTGACGTCGTGGCTGCTAAGAACATTCTGCTGAAAGGTAAGGCTAATTGACGATACAATTGCGATTGAATGATTGCTTAAGAAGATTCATTTGTTTGATTTTTGAGGACTATGGACATTGCTAGGACTTCCGATACCGGATGCGATCAATAGATATAAAGTTCGCGATGCTGTCGCTGAGGCCGCCGAAGTAGCCGCTGATGTCGCTGAAGCAGCTGCTGCTGCTGCCGCCAACGTAGATAATGATGTAGAAATGTTCGAGTACGACCAGCAGCCAGCTGATCATGCTGTCTAATCAGCACAACGCAAACAAAAAAAAAACAATTGTAACATTAGTTATTAAGGCTATCCCGACCATGTGGGATAGTAGCGTAGCAAAAGTTTGACACCCCATTTGGTTGTTGTTGACTGCGCAGGAGTACAAATGGGGCATTTGTATAATTGAAACGATAAGTGGCATTGCTTTGTTCTTCTCATTGACATTTACAATTTCTTCTCATTGAAAACTTGGAAAAAATGTCATAAAATCGAAAACGTCGACAAATTGCTACCAAAAATGTTTGCCTCTGTGCGAGATGATGAAATTTGATGAAGGAATTTTTTCGTTCCTCAAACCTGTTTATTCGCGTACGAGCCATGATTCTGTTAATGTTCCAAGATGATGAAAAGGAAAAAGTGCGAGTTTTGTACAAAAATTTAGAGAAATCATTCATTAGATTTTTGAAACCACATTGAGTTGCTTGATAATTGAAAACTTTGTTCGTAATCTCAAAAAATACTTGATTTAAATTTTCTTAATCGTAGAGCAATGAGGACTTAAGCTGATGCAGTTGTTTCATGTCAATATGCCTCCTTATGCAAAAGAAATCCAAAATAAAATGTCGTACATCCGTAAGATGAACTTTTCAGCACTGTGATCCACAACATGCTTTTATTACGTATCTTTTACCGTAAACATGAATTCATGGGAAAACTGAATCTTATATAAGTTTTGCGATACAAATAATTTTTGATAGACTTTTCAATGCCTGTATGATATCGTAATCATGTGAAAATTTGCAGATGTTATTTTTTTCACAAAAAGTTAACATTCTGAAAGTTTGAAGAAATTTGAATACAATTGAGTGGTACCTTCCATACAAAATTTTCGTTTTTGAGCAAAATTTTGTTCGAGAGGTAACCCTATTATGCATTGAAATCTCTTCAAACCCTCGGAATGTTATTTTTGTGTGAAAAAAATAACCTGTGCAAAGGTTTCAGCTCATTACGATATCATACAGGCATGGCTTTCATAAAAAAATCCAAATTTTCTGAAATTTTTTTATGAAAAGTGTGTCAAAATATATTTGTATCTCAAAACTAACGTTATATTCGGTTTTCTCGTACCCAAAAACCCCCCAATACATATTTTTGAGTGTTGGAAGAAAAATTGAATTTTTTCCATGGATGGCCATGGGCATCACACCAGAAATGACACTTCACTCTATCAACCAAAGTCGCTCAAAATCTAATGGTTTCTATTCCTCGGAACCCCCAATCATCCTGTGAAGTCAGATTTTGAATTACTTTTCTGGTTTGAAAGTTATCGTGCTAACAAATTTTTGCGTACAGCGTACAGGGTACAGGGTACAGGGTACAGGGTACATGGTACAGGGTACAGGGTACGCAAATACATTCGGACATCGAAAAAACGCTAGATTTGTGTTCCTTGGCCCCAAAAAGACCCAGAAACACATTTTTGATGGGTGTTAATTTTTCGGTGTGTGCGGAAAATAATGATAATAATTATAATAATAATATCTTTTTTGTTTCTTGTGTAATTTTCGTATATAAAACAATACTTACTTGAACGACTCATTTTAATATATCACGATAAATGTTGGCCTTTTTAAGATGTTTTCGTTTTGTCTCAATGATATTTTCTATTTTTTCGATGATTAAAACAATTGTGAAAAAGTCTGTATCAATTTTATCAGTTAGTTTAATATTTTTATAATATACAATTTGAGAAAAAACATTAATTAACACTTTAAACACATAGACTTCATGCAGTTGATTTCTTTTAAGACTTCTATCGACACTAAGATATTAATATCCTCCAGAAAAAATGGGAACTAACGCGCATTCTTTCAATAATGGCACAATAACAACACTTAAAACGATATATATATATATATAAATCTGAGAATAAAGTATTCTCTTATTTTTATTAAATATTTCTTTATACTTAAATTTTCCTAGGGGGGAGACACAAACGATTAAACCATGATTCCAATATATAAACAATAATCCTACTATTCCACCAATCCGTCATTTCATTGTGAAATATTATGTCTCATTTCGCCGCTATTCACTTTGTTAAAAACTTATTTTATCGACACTGAAGTATAACATTTTGTTATTGTTTTTTTTTTTCATCAATAAAATTTTGAGAAAGTGTCTATTGTTTTGTAAATTTATTTAGAAATTTTCATTATTGTTTTATTTTTAATAAATATTTCTTTGAATCTTATGAAACTTAAATTTGGTTCTTACAAATGTGAATATTATCAATAGAGGTACATTTTTTTTAAATATCGAATGAAAGGTTAGAATTGTTAAAGTAAGAAGTAGTCAATTAAAGTACAAAATGAGGTTAGAGTGTCAAATTTGTCTGAATGACAATTGTTTGAATAAGTAAACGTAGCGTAAATAATAAGAGCACGTTTTGTTGTAAATATTACGTATTTAACTGGAATTCAGAATTTCTTGAGTCGATATTTTTCATTATCGCAGGAATGAGGCAAAATACACCACCATCGTCACCGTTTTTTGAAAGAGATGACATGAACGATGATCATGAAATTGATGGAGAAGATGACGAATTGATATACATTGGTGATGGTAAGTGAAATTAAAAAGAAGTTGGTTATTCTTATTGAAGTTATTTATGAACTCAGTGTAATTCTTGATGTTTCTCACCTTAAACTTTTATTCGATGAAGTATTAGACGCCTTTGAAGCTGAAAGTGATGATGAAAATAATGGTGGGCCAAATAATGCCAGTATCGACGAAGAATATATACCACCCCGAGATGATGCTGTTTTAACATTTTCGTCGCATAGTGGGCCCGTGTTTTGTGGTTCACTTCATCCAACTGAAAATTTAGCTGTAACAGGTGGCGAAGATGATAAAGCATATGTTTGGTCGACTGACACAGGAAATGTAGTACATGCCGTTACGGGCCATAAAGATTCAGTTATTGCAACTGAATTCAGCACCGATGGAAATTATTTGGCAACTGGTGATATGGCTGGGTACATTCAAGTCTTTAAAATGTCACTGGATTTCACAAAAGTATGGGAATTCGAAATGGGAGTAAGTTTTCGATAAGTGTGTTGTTTTTCAACCAAAATTCTTTTTCCAAGAACATCAAGAATAACCGGAACAACGACTTTGAAACTTGGCGAAGTAGAATAATGATGAGTCGTCAAGATCTGCAACCCATTTTGACAGTCCAAAGACTTGCGCAACTCAGCGTTATAACAAAGAAAATGAAGTAAATTTCATGTTATGTGCAATAATCATAACATAAATTTCCTTCTAATTTTGTCATTTTTTTCTTTTCTTCGTGAAATCTTAATTTAAATCTATTTGCGAATGGGTATTAAATCATTAAGTTGTGGAACGATTTGCATGTGCCATAAAGAAAGTAAAAAGTACACATAGTGTATAAGTGATATAATTTCATTTCCATTATGTTATCTAATTTCATGTTGGTTAATTTTCACTAATTCCATTTTTCTTTTCTTGGATTTCAACCCAAGGATATGAGCTGGATGCACTGGCACATTGCAGCAAACGTTTTGTTTGCTGGTTCGGAGACAGGTGAAACATACATATGGCGAATACCATCCGGTGATTGTAAAGTACTTCAAGGTAACGGAAGCAAATCGGAAATTGGTCATTTGACAGCCGATGGTAAAAGTTTAATCGTTGGATATGCAGACGGTTGTGTGAAACTATGGGACATCAAATCGAGTACAGTCATTCAAAATTATGAAGAAAATACGGCACTTGGACACAGCGGATCGATAACAACCATTGCAACGGATCCAGACAACGGACGATTTTTTACGGGCAGCGAAGATGGCAAAATAATGATAGCGAATTGCAAAGGTCCATTGATTAATTGTTTTCCAAGTGGGGGCTCAGTTGAAGCACTCGCTTTTTCAAACGACAAAGAAGTTGACATGAAACTTGTAGCATGTGGCACACTCGAGGGAAACGTTTCATTATGGGATGTAAACAGACAAGCAATCCGATTTGAATGCCAAAATGAAGAACCAGCCGGAATTACGAAAATCGTTTGGGGACCGAAGTTTACCGTACTATGTGCTACATTGGATGGATCCATACGAATTTTCGACGGTAAATATGGTTTATTAGAAATAGTAGTTACAAACATTTATAAAGTAAGAAACTTTAGGTTCATCAAATACATAGCTATAAAACAAATCATAAATTAAGAACAATTTGCAAATGAACTGAAGTCGCGATAGCAAACAGATTGCTGATAATTGAGATTTGTTCGTTCATTGTATAAGTAATCAAATAAAAACCTCTATCGAGGTGAAGGACGAGTGACGAAACCAAAATTTGAAACACAAAATTTCTGATATCAATTTTGTGACGAAAATAGTTGGTAGATATATTTTCTGTGTACTGTGAATATAAACTTAATATACATTTGTA